AACACATTCACCATACCAATATTCAAACTCAACCGTGTCATTTAATTCATTTGTTAATTTAATATAGCATTTATCATTATTTATTCGGTTATATTGTTATTGAAATTTGAATTATTATTATTTTAAACAATAACTCATAAGAAATGTCTCCCACTCTCGGCTATTGGGATATTCGTGGTGTAAGTGTTTCCTATTTACTTCATATTTGTATGTTTTGAGTACAACCAGTAATGTGTAGATTCTGTGTTTGTAGTCATTATTGAATATTACATCAAATTATGAATTTATTTAAATAGCTAATTTTACCTATTTTGTAAAATACCTGTGAATGCAATTAACTTAATTCATATTAAAATAGATTAATGCATGCTTAATTAAGATTATTGACTACAAATGTAATCATAATTAAAATTGTAAGACTTCAATGCTATAGTATATATAAAGTGCAGTAAATAGAAATATTTTATTAGTTATATAATATACAGTATAATAATAAAGTAAATTATATAACAATTGAAATGAAATTGTTTTCAATTATCACATATGCTGTCACCAAATATCTTAATTTGTTTCACAGACAAAGACCTTGAAATGAGTCTAGTCTTGAAGGGAAAATATTTCATATCTCTTACTGTACTGTATATGACGTGAAACATGACGACAAGAATTTGAGTTTGAGATATGGTTTTGAGTTAAGATATTTTAAAATAATAATTTTGACTCATACTGTATATTGAATATTATTGATTTAAAACATGTGTCAATCAAACACATTATTTAACATGAGATCAAATATCCTTAATTTATTTATATACTGAATTCACTGTCAGTACAGAATCACAGAATTAAAGCACAGAAACACTAGTTTTATTAGCTTTCAATTAACAAATAAAAAAATTTACGAAAACACATTAAATTTACTAAAATATAAAATATGGACAACAGTTGGCACAACCCATACGTCTACTGCTGGCCTATACGGACACCCCATTCACGGATAAGCGCTATAAAGTGGGTCCCAAACCAGACTTGGATCGCAGCCAATGGACTAATGAGAAGAACTCTTTGGGTCTACCCTTTCCTAACGTAAACATCCATTTCCCACAATATAGTTATTAATTAGTTGTCATTCGCACCGATAGCTCCCTTACTATATCGATGGAGATATCAAAATCACGCAAAGTTTGGCAATAATCAGACATTTGTCCCGAAAGTACCAATTGATGGGCAATTCGGTTGAGGAGGACAACAGAATCAGTTTAGTTGAACAACAGTTGAAGGATAATAACGGCGCCTTCACTAAGATCTGCTATAATCCCAACTTCGAGACACTTAAAGTCGATTACTTGAAACAATTGCCACAATCTCTGGATCTGTTGAGCAAATTCTTGGCCGAAAGACCTTATTTTGCTGGTCAGTACCATTATCTCTACTATTAAATGTCATTCATATCCTAAAACTAATGGTTATATCAATTGTACGATTAGGTGAACGGCTAACGTATGTAGACTTCTTGGCCTATGAATTCCTGGATCAACAGAAACTCTTTGCCCCACAACTGGTCTCTCAATACAATAATTTGGTTCAATATTTGGCTCGTTTTGAATCGCTTCCAACCATTGCTAAGTACATGAAATCTGACCGATATATCCAATGGCCGCTTAATAACGATTCCGCACTCTTTGGCTCTCGTTATCAACAAATACCATAAAAACATTCAATCAATCTCTTTAGTGTCCACTTTGACAATGCCTTTCGAGATGGGAATCACATTCTCTTTGCACTCTTCGTTCAAACGCTTGAATCTCTGCGAAAGTGTTTTAGTTGTGTAAACCCTATCGATCGCTATCGAAGATATTGTGTCCACTTTTGGCTCTTCCTTCGCGCGAATCGGTTCCATAGTATGAAACACTTGAGACACTAATTTGTTTTCCATAATTACAATACTTATTGACAACAATTCGGTGAACTCGATGAATACAGTATAGAGTAAGAGTAAGACTAACAAAACTAACAATTCAAATATGATCTACAAAAGTGTATGTTTGAAAAACATAGTTATGAATTTATAAAAATCAATGTTAAATTATTTATTCAACATCTTAACTCAAGTTCCATCAAAAATAACAAATTATATACAATGAACTAAATGTTAAGTTTTAAAAGTTACACTAAAAATTTAAGCAAAATATTCTCAACTTTTATAAAATGATTTATGAATTGGTTATTAATAAACAAAACATAGCTAATAGTTTGAAATGACAATTAATGGTTTATTTGAATACATAATAAATTAGTTACTCCTAATCTTTTATATATATATTTATTTCTCTATACTTAACTCATTGATCACAGACTAATTAATTGAAAAATAGACAAATTAGAGGTTTGTGTTTTGTATATTTATGAGAATTATGTCAAAAAGAAATTATATTATAAGTAACTTAATTTACATGTAAATGTGTTTCCTTTGATTGTTAACATGTTTTCTATATAATTTATTGTATTGCATATATTTATTGTATTTTTTTTATTAAAGAATCTAATTATATAATTGAAAATCTACTGTTTGACTGCACTGTAAATGATATTATGGCACTCAATTACATTACTATTTGTACCAATAGTTTTAGTTTAATTTACGATTATATGTGTAATTAAATTGATAGATAAGGACTTTTCTCTTAGCAATCTTAATGTCGACTAAACACTATTATTTTAATCGCAATATTTTAATTATGAAAATGTTAAGTTTTTATATATGTTTTTATAATGGATTTCTATGAAAACCGATTACATTGTCGATAGAGATTCCAATAAAGTTTGATTTGATTTGATTTGATAATTGTATTAAAATGATAACCAATAAGTGACTCAAACTGATAAAAATGTATGGCACCTCAATCTTAACTCTACATTATGTTTACAAATCAATTTCATTTACATGACAGAGGATGTGATAATTAAGCACTTTTTATATTTAAAACATTGCAAGTCTAAGTCTGTAAGTCTGTAATTGTAAGTTAATATTTATGATATTAAAATATTTTTTTAATTAGAAGTCAAGAATTTGCAGTTTAATTTAGAAACAGACATTGACAGTTTTTCATATTAAATAAATTATATCAAATAATTGTGTAAATAACTTTATTATATTTCAGCAACAGTTGTCAATACACTTTAGACTTTATTCAAAATCATAATTAAAGTAAATATTTATTTTGTAGTTTTTAATGAATGCAAAAATTCTTAACAAAAATATTTTTAAACTTATTTTTTATTTTAAATAGTCGTTTGAAAGTCATTGAAAAACTTTTTAAGGGAATATAGATGTTGAAGAGTTATTATATAATACATATGAGTCATTAAAATGTTAATTAAAATAACATTGAATTTAGAAAATATAAATATTTTAAAATTATTTTTTGTTTACTTTTAATAGACTTTGTGTTAATATGCTATTCTTGAAATTTTTTGTTGTTTAAAAAACATAATAATATTATGCAATTTAAAATGTTGCATAAAGTTTTCAAATAAGGAAATTATAATTTATATACAGTACTGATATATTTTCACTTATTTTTAGATTCATTTTGGGTAAATGTCTAGAATTTAATTTTAAACTAAAAATCAAGTCATAAAAAACAATAGAGAATTACTATTTTATAGTTAGATTTATGAATCTTAATTTTACTAAATTTTAATTAAAATTCACAAATCTTCACACATCATGTAATAAATTTTTATAATTTAATTTTTAATTTATATTCATTGATAAGGTTTGTTGAATAATTTTAATTTGAAATTTTAAATTAATTAAATGACCGATAATTAGATTTATCTTAAATTACACCTAAATTATCACAATCCAGTACATCGTATGACAGTCAGTGCATTGAGTTTAATGTTTTATGAAATGAATATTATTTTAATCAATGAGTGATAAGTTTGAAATTTATAATACAGTAATTATATAGTATTAAGATCATTTTAATATTCATATGAATACAGTACAAAATTTGACATTGACTTAATTTGTGACATTTAATTTGTTTATATTAGTTTTTGATATAATAGTTAGTTTTATCAAATGAACACTTATCATTATAAATGATCAATTATAAAGTGTTATTATTTTCATATTTTATTTGAATTTTGAGTAATTATTTTGTGTATATTAATTATTATTTATTAAGTAAAATTAAATGAAATATAATCCAAATACAGAATTTGAATGAATAAAAACTAATTTAAATAAATAAACCATTTTATAAATTATATTGAAGATTTCGTGTGACATTAACTGGGATTTGATTTTCAAATAATAAAACTAACAAAAATAATCCTCAAAACTATTTGCACCGAAAACATAAAAGTAGCTAATTTACATTTCTCATTAAAAGCAAACGAATATAATCTTAATTAATAATTTATATAAAACGCCCAGTATTAAAATATTATTTTATAATAAAATATCAAGAATAAAACGATAAACAATTTATCCCAAAAATATAATACAGTATACAGAATATAGTGTATATAATAATTTCATGCAAATCGCTGATTAATGCATCAATTTTTGATATAACATTTTTAATACAAAGTTAAATATTTTTTACTGTTAAGTGAATATTATCGGTATAAATGATAATCTACATTATAGATAACTTTAAGCATATATTACTTGTATATCAAACATATTATATAATATAAGTATTGCTTGCAATGAAACAAATCTGTTGCCATGAATTGATTGTCAAATTGCATAAATTTGTTATAAAACTTGTAAATACTTTCAGTGCAACACTAGTGCACAATTTGAAAAGTGATTTACAACTAATTTACGAGTACTGTATAACCCAGACATTGGCACTTAGAATAGGTTGGAAACACACGAAATATTCTGCATAACTTTACTATAAGTTTAAATTATTTGCATACATAAAAGTTTTAAATATTTAGTTTAATATTTGGTGCAATAGATGCATACAACTCATTCTGCAATTGCCTTTATGTTATTAATTTGAAATATCTAACCTAACAATTAATTAGATAATAGGTTTTAATCGGTATTACATTATATACGACTATTTGTATTGTCCGTCTCTAAGACTAATATTGACGTTGAAACCAAACCAACAGTATGTTTGAACTCAAATACTGAAGTCTCGGATGACTTACGAGACACTATTCTCTGAGACCTAATCAAACCATTTCTACAACAACTACAGAAAGCCAACAACAATACAAACAACTCGTTTGCAGACATTAATTTAGTCTTGCATTCAGTCTTCTCTGATAGTAAAAAGCATTCAAAAACTTATGGAAAAACTTTTACAAACTTTTTTAATATAAGAATAAATGAATCGTTAAAAATAGAAATAGTAATTCATGAGAATAAGTTTCACCAATGATATGTGATATAGTTGTGCACAATCTGTAGTTCAGTTTAACGTTGGTGTCCCTGATAAATATATTCACCATATACTCACATAAATCCAAACCTATGTTTGAATTTGAAAATCTGAACAAATATACATGTATATTTTTTCATACAATGAGTATATAATTTGAATATTTCATAGAAAACTAGTTTTAGAGCTATTTTGATGATATATTTTGTGAGTGAATGAGTCACTCGTGGAAATGTACGGAGGATTGACTGTAGGAATGGGTGTGTGTTAAAGGGATAAGAGGACTGCCTTTTCATATATAACAGAGTATTCTATGGGAAAGCCGGCACTCATTCACTTCAGTCCCAGACTTCGTGTTGTCTGTCATTAGGTCTCCATTGATTGCAAGCAAAACATCAAATATTTTGATTATACCTATTATTTCGAGTTTCAATTGACTACACATTCAATACAATGGCACCAACTCTTGGATACTGGAATATTCGTGGAGTAAGTCCTATATTCATATGTATTTGTATTTTTCATTTAGATAGCCATGCTTGTTAATATGATGGTTAGGTTTTTGATATTTAATATGAATACTTGTTTACGATAAAAATTAATGATTACAATTTATCATGCTTATTAATGGTTGGCATTCATAAATTGTAAAATATTATATACAGAAAGTTTGTATAATGATAACTATTTAAATTGAATTTTATAATGATTTTACTATGGAGTCATTATTAGTATAGAGATTTTTTAATTAAATTGATATCTATGCCTAAATCATAATTTCTGATCAATCATGTTAAGTTGTTTACAAAAACAGCAAAATTATTAATAAACAAATATATGATTGAATTGACTAGATCAATAATATGTCTCATAAATAATACCATATTTAGAAAATATACTTGTTTTGCAAATATATCATTAAATTTTAGTATTATTTGTCATTGGAAATGATTTTATGGCAATAATTATAATGACAAATGATTAAACTATATATTTTTACATATTTATGTGCAAATTGAGCTATCAGAATTATATTAATAACTATAAATAACTTGGCTATTTATGCCATTCATGACAAATTGTCAAATAATATAATTTGCATTATTTATTGTTTTGTGATTAACAAATATTTTGATTTAATAGCCAATTATTATTAGCAATAAATATGCTAATCAAACAAATAATCTGATAACTTTTGTTACAAAATGAGCACAAAGTGAACAAAACTTATTTGATAGCATTACTTATACTACCGGTGCTAACCTTTTAAAGGTATGAAGTTTTTATGCCTCAAATCAATTGCTTCTATGATTGAAAAACTAAATCTGAAAAACTTTTTTTGGGCGTAAAATAGAGTAAAAATCCCAAAATTCTTCGGTTAGAGAGACAACAAAAAGATTTACACACAAATATAAATGATTTTTTGCTCAATAAATCTTCCGAAAAGAAATTCCCAAAAATTTTTACATTAAAATAATTCTCGTTTTACGATACCCTATGCTATTTGGGATCGCACCGGGAGGTTAAGGTTATACACATTTTTCTATGACTATTGCTATTTGACAGCACTTTTTCAGACGGTCTGCACTTTTTGTTTTACTTTTTACATGAATACTGTATAATATTTGATATCTCGTGTCTACCGTAACTATTTGGAAATGTATTTTATTTTTTATACATTTTAACACTTGAATGAAATATTGTTTGCAATTTATTTTCGCATCAAATTATAGCTTCTTGTATGAAAACCGTTGTTATATTCTGTTATATAAACCCTTTCATAGTAACCTTAATATTGAAACGAAAATTGTTTTTCAATTATAATTAAAACCACATTTCATTTTGTATTCACATTTTTGCCAATCGTTTGCATGTCATCGCAAATGAACAGATGTTTCGCTGAGACATTAATTTTAAGAAAAACAATATTTAAAAACTTATTTTCCAAATGAATATTTTATATCATTCTCAATACAAATGCATAACTAATTCAAATGAATGTCTCGATTTAAAATTTATGAATACATTGGTAATGCAAATACAAAATCGTGGGCTTTCAATGATTTCGAAACTTATTTTTTTGTTATTTATATTTGAATAGTGGTCTGAATATAACTAAATGAAGCGTTAAATACATAGGAGAATCTGTGGTATAATAAATGCCAAAAACAGTTTGTTATAAGTCAAAATAACTCCTATAATATATTGTTTGATTTTAAGAGACAGCAAACAGTAACTGAATATTGCTCTTTTTGTTTAAAATTATGTTTCCTTCAGTATTATTTAGTTAATAATCTGCTGTCCTAGCGTAAATCCATTGAACAAATAAATTGTTTATAATCCTATTATACATTTAAATAGGTATTCATATAAAAATAGCTTTAAGAGTTGAATAAATGAATAAACAAACTTGAAAACTAAACCATAAATAAATAGTAATAAATTTGATAATTAAAACTATCTATGATTTAAATTAATGAACAGTTGGCTCAACCAATCCGTCTACTGTTGGCCTATTCTGGCACTGAATATGAGGACAAACGTTATGTTTTGGGACCGGCGCCTGAATTTGATAGAACTGAATGGCTTAATGACAAACAGACCCTCGGCCTCGACTTTCCCAATGTATGTATTTCTCGATTTTTTCTTTTTTACGAAAGTAATCATTATTTGCGGTAATACTCAGCATTGCTAACTTATTCACTTTTTTTTGTATTCACTTGTAATTATGGCATAGCCTTGAATTGTGGGTTCATATATTGTTTCCATATCTGTTATTTTATCACTGAATTAATAATCTATTGAAACAATAGCTGTTATACTGTATAAAAGGATTCCTATACTTTACATAGAATTTCAAGTGTTATATAACTTTATTGCAATTTTTACTATAACACAAGTACTAGTAAACCACTGCATAGTTATCTAAGATACCAACTCCTAGACTAAGTAAGACTCCTAGACTAAAGACTAAAGTCCTAATACAGATATGAAGTTCAATAAAAGTCTGTATTATTTCCACTTTTTAATTAAATTAAAAATTGCATTAGAAATTAAAATACATTTGATTAATGATAAATGAAATAGGAATGCCATTTATTTATTTTTTATTCTTTAAAAGTAAGTTAATTAACATCAGCTATAATTAGTAAGTTATTTCTATCCAAATTAGCAATACATCAGTGCTTTAGTAACAAAAATGTAGTGTATTTTGTATGAATTTACTAAATGAATGGTAATTTGCTGGACAGTTGCCCTACTATTTGGACGGCGACCTAAAGTTGACCCAAAGTGTGGCTATCCTTCGACACGTGGCCCGTAAGGCCAAACTCAGTGGTCAGACCGATGCCGAAAAACTGCGCGTAGATCTGGTTGAACAGCAATTGGTGGACATCAACACCGGCGTCGTTCGTATCTGTTATGACCCCAACTTCGAGACCCTCAAAGTGGATTATCTCAAGAATTTGCCTCAAAGTCTGGAGCTGTTGAGCAAATTCCTGGGCGACAGACCCTTCCTCGCAGGTATTCAATCATATTTTCATGGTTTCACAGTTTGTTGACTCAATTATTTGTAAATTGTGTGCAAACTAGGAGAGAGTGTGACTTATGTGGATTTCCTTGCTTACGAAATCTTGGATAAATTGAATGCTTTGGCGCCTGAGATCGTGTCCAAAGTGGATAACCTCAAGAAGTACATCGAGAGAGTGGAGTCTTTGCCACAAATTGCAAACTATCTGAAGAGTAACCCTAAGACCCCCTTCAATGGTCCGATGGCTAAATGGGGCGGAAATTAAATGATTTTTCAAAGTATAATATTTGAGAAATACATCTCATTTGATCCCAAAATGAATAAAGTGTTTTAAAACAGAAAAATATTGAAATTAACTTTTATTTGATATTCTGTATCCTTATAATTATATTTTGATTAATCATTATTTCATATAAAAAGTATAAAAATAAGTTGAACTAAAATAAATAACAATATCTTTATTTTCTACTTTAATAATAACTCGATTGTTGATTATTTAGATAACTTACTGTATTATTAATGGAAACACAAATATTATATAAGAATTCATAAGTAAATGCATTTTTCTGTTATAAGTGAAGGATTTATTTGACACGAGTTTTGCAAATGGGTGTAAAAATACAAATATTTTCTCTATTCATACATTATATACAGTATAATATTCTGTAGTCTCCTATTCTTTCTGGCATTTGAAATATTTTCTGAAATAAAAGTTATATTTTGAGAAAACAAAGCACATTATTATTTGCACTCAATTATGTAATTGTATTTTCATTTCATTAATCAAATTATTTATACTATCTTTTTGTGTAAATGCAAAACAACTGCTTTTGTGTTAGTGAGAAGCAAATCGTTTAACAAAAACGTGTCTTCAAATTAAGTACTCATCTCTAATTCAATCACACGATTCAATGGTATTCTTCCCACAAATCATTAATCATTTTGCATTTGGAAAGTATAGTTAATGTCTAATTTTATAGTACTTGAAACTATTGTCGATATTAAATAAAAGTGCGGTATAAGTAAACCTAAAATTTCAAGTACTCTAATAAAAAATTACAATAATTATTTTGATTTTTCAATTTGGGAAGCAATTCTCATGAAATTACAAAAAAACATATTTTACTATTAAATTTTTTATATATTTTATTTGAATTATAAATATTTTTATTAAACTTGTCAAAACTAAGAATATACCGGTATATATCGTATTGTATTTTACACAATTTCATGACTTTTAAATTATGTATAGATTTAAATCTATGTATTTAAATTCATGTCTTTCCATAAAATTCACATGAATATAAATTTGTGACACGATTTAAACATTAAATTTAAATGATATTTAAATTGAATTATTGGATTTTAGAATTATAGTGTATATTTTATTATAATACAGTATACTGTATTTTATTTTAGTTTAATATTTAAATATGAACGAGGAATACAATGATTTAGCTTGAACAGTATTATTATATTGTAAAATTTTCATGATTAATACTTTATATCAATTAGAATTGCATTTATAATATTAAATAGATTATATTTGAGAGGTGGTTACAATTGATTGCACAAAAACATTTATACGTTTATATGTAATACATAAAGAATTTGTTGAAATCAAAATCAAAATTCAATGTTAAAATACAAATAATTATAGTATTATTTGAATGAAGTCTAATTTTGTATGTAATAAGTTGTGCAAGTAAATAAGATTTAGCAAAAATACACTGAATATGCATTTAATCTAAGATTAGATGCACTGTACTATTGGAGCACTAACTTAAATAGATAAAGTGGACAAACAATAGGTTTTATTGGCATTATAAATTATTAAATGTTCACTGCTATAAAATCTATAATCAGTTAATGCTACATAGAATTACTTTATTTGAATAACTGAAGTTGTTGAAAACTTATCAATTTGATAATGAATTATATTTTACAAATTATGATACAAGAATTCAATAACAAACTTATTCATGTTATGCTTAAATTTTATTGTCGCTATTATCAATATTCTATTATAACATTATCATTGAAAATTTACAATACATTATAAAAACAAGAATTGCAATGATTTTGATATCTAGGGACCAACTATTGGAGAACACCTGTAAGTATTGTAAATGAAAGACTACTACAGTATATATTATATACTATATAAGTTGTGGGCATGCCTTAGACCGGTTGGTAACACATTCACCATACCAATATTCAAACTCAACCGTGTCATTTAATTCATTTGTTAATTTAATATAGCATTTATCATTATTTATTCGGTTATATTGTTATTGAAATTTGCATTTTTATTATTTTAAACAATAACTCATAAGAAATGTCTCCCACTCTCGGCTATTGGGATATTCGTGGTGTAAGTGTTTCCTATTTACTTCATATTTGTATGTTTTGAGTACAACCAGTAATGTGTAGATT